GACGTTATCAGTAAAGTAAATTCCCCCGTGATAGTGCTGCGATCTATTGAATTTTCCTACAAGTATTTAGCATTAACACAAACTTTCAATGCGTCCCATATGGGAATTGCTTAGCTTCTCGGCACGATCGCTACAAAATGGTTGCGGCTCCTCTGATTTTCAAACAATTCGAGTTCGAGTCTGTTGTGGGAAAAAATGGATTCCAGTAAATCTAACAATGGGTAACTCATTCGTCGCGGCCGCCCAGGAGGTGGTGCAACCTATTAGTGATTTTCCGAAGCAGTTGAAAATCGATTTCAAAGAGCTTTGGACAAAAATGAGTATTTCGTCAATTGGGAAAGAACATTTTTTACTTTTTTGTAATTTTTGAAAAAACAACAACAAAAGGATAGAGCAATGTGGCGTTTATGTCTTCTTATACAGTGCATTTAACATTATCCCTACCAAAAGTTTAAAGAAAAAATTAGAAACCGCTTTTAAGAAAATATTTTTGTTGTTGTTTTTTTTAAATCGCGCATGTTGCTTGTATCATTCCGCAAAAACTACTAAAAATTTCAAAAAATGTACATGGCGTTTATGAAAGAACTAATTATGGAGAACAAATTTCGTTTGAAGGGAAAATATTTATCGTAAATATTGTATTTGTGGGAAGACGCCGAAAAAAATTCAGTCTTTTACAATTTTCGAAAATGTAGTTATCAGTGAAAATAAGACCTATGCCTCCTTGATAAAAGTATTTTACTCTATTCTTACAAGAAATTTAAAGAAAAAAATCCGTGTCGTTTTTGAAAAAATTTTGAAAATGTCCCAGGGGATTAATCTAAAGTACCTCCAAATTTTAAAGTACTTTTTTCAAAATATTTAAGCTTCGACTCGAGCCACATGAACAGATCACATGGAGACTGGTCAAAGGACGAGACTTCAATATGGAAAAAATCCGAGGCATGGTTAGGCGCTAGTAGTTGTTGACAGACGGACAGATAGACGTTAAAAAAACGCTCTTTTCAGTATATGGGGACCCCAAAATTAGTATTTTTTAGAAAATGGCGTTTTATTTTTTGAAAATGCGGATTTAAATTCATTTTCACAGAAAACTTGAGAGTTTTTGAGAAACGTTATTAATCATTTAAAGAATACGTACTCATAAATGCAATATGGTATACAAATTGCCTATAATGCAAATACTAACGATGTGGAAAGTTTGTTATAAAAATTACATTTTTAATTTTAAAAAAATATTAATTTTTTGTAATTTTTGATAAAACAAAAAGTAGATCAAAACGGTGTTTATGCAATCTTATGCAATACATTTTGCACTATCCCTTCGAAAAGTTGGAAGAAAAATTTTGGAGCTGTTTGTTAGAAATTCTTGTTTTTGATATGTTTAATGTTGCCAGTATTTCTCGCAATACTGCGCGAAAGCTAAAAAACTTTTCAAAACAATGCACAAGGAAAGAACAATTAAGGAGAACAAATTTCATTAGAAGGAAAAATCTCTTACTCCAATTTTGTATCTCTATCTCTCAATCTCCAATTTCAAAATTTTTTCAATTCCAATTCAAAAAAAATTTCAAACTTTTGCTATTTTCATAAATTTAGAGTTTACAGTGAAAATTAGATACATGCCACCTGTACATTTGTATTTCACACCATTCTTTTGAGAAATTTAAGGAAAAAAATTGGAGATGTTTTTGAGAAAATGTGAAGTACTGTATCTCCAAAATTTAAAAAATGGTTTTGAAAATCGCTGAGCTTTGAGATGAGTCAGATCGGCCGGCGAATATCCATTTTGTAAAAAATTTTACGCTTAGTTCGAACGCTAGTGTTGTTCACGGACGAACGTTTTGAAGAAAACCACTTTTACGGTATCAGGGAATCTCAAAATGTGTGTTTCTATTCAAATCTCGAAATCGATTTTCCGCAGAATTGCGTAACTACTATGTGTAGGGCCTATTACTCCCTATGTACGTACGTAAACGAGAAACTAAAAAGTTCTTGGTGTTTCTCCATGATATGTTATAAGGAACATGAGATAAAAAAGATAATTGAATATTGAAAAATATTGAATTACATTAATGCCATTTCTCAATGTTTGAGCAGATTTCCAAAAAATTTGCAATAAAGCTGACGAATGTTACTTAACTTACCAGATAGAAGTTACTAATCCATGCACATCTTGCTCGTAGTACTCCTACACTGACATTAAATATCAGTGCTCCTATGTCTGATAGTGCCAGCGCTTTTAGATAGACAGACATGTTGCATTTGTTAATTGGTGGAGAATTTAACACAAAGAGTGAATAAATATTAACCAGTAAACCTAGAATAAAAAAAAGTGTTTTGATGATTTATTTCTTACGAAATATGAAAGAAAATAATTCATCATAATACTGCTGTGAAATAATAATACATAATCAAAATTGAATAACTCATTTCACCACCTGTCCACTGTGACCTATGAGTATATCATACATCCTCCATCAGTACTATTTATGTCCTTCGGCTGTTCAAAGAGTTGACGGTTTCGGTAGCTCAAATGGTTGAGCAACTGGGCAAGTAATGGGATATCTCGGTTCGATTTCCAGCATTGGTAGTCAATTCTTTGAACAGCCCAAACCAAATTTATAAGAAAAAATATTTATTTATTACCTGTTATTATCAAAACAATTGTCACATATTTGAAAAGAAATCGTACAACTGAAACTAGGTTTTGTATATTAGCACTCTTCCAGTACAATCGAAGTTCACATGGATATTCCTTCTCCAACTTTTCCACTTCTTGCGCGTTACTTTTATTGTAATGTAAAAAGTCAAGTGAATCTAGTGGTGGGCAATTTCTGCAACAAAAAACAATTTTGTTTTGGGAAACAATTATTTGTTGGGAAACGGAAGTTTTGACTTTTTAATGTACTAATTTTCTTCTCTCTTAGTTTCTTAACTGAAAGTGGGTACATTGCACGAGTACATTTATACTCGACTTTTCCAGCAAGGGTCTTCCCTTCGTTAATTCGCCTAATTTTGTAATGTAATAAACACATTTAAAACATTTTTGTATAATATAACAAACTCGATTTAGTTCGTTGTTGACAACATATTTATGTACCAAATTTTGAAAATATGAGTAGAATTTTCCTGCAAGTTTTTCCCACCTTCAGCCACGCCTCAGTGCGAAGGCGAGTACTTACGCGTCGCCCATGGCTTCATGGTCACTCATGTAGGGTGATGTAAAACCTGTAACAATCGCCGCGTTGTAGTAGCTATTGAATTAGAACGGCATTTTAAACCTTGTTAGAATTATACATTTGTGCTCTGAAACCCTAGAACAGTAGTTGATTTATGACAGAAATTGAGGGAGGGAGTATAAACCCCTTGTAGCCTACGTACCGGCACCTCAAGTTCATAAAGCACCGCAAGCATCCTTGTGTAAACACTTTATTTTTACCACAAATAATGGATATGCCCAAGCAGCTGGTCCACCTGTAGATTACAGACCTTGATGTCCATTTCCAGGGATTTTGTCGTTGGTCGGGTAGGCTCGCCGAATATCATGCCCACTGTCTCTGAGGAAGGCCGTGCCCGGACCACGCATGTGGTAAGCACGCGTCTTCGCATTCGATGCGACTGCTGTGGACTTTTGATTGGTTGCGGAGAGCACAGTGGCGGAAGCGCATAACAGGCAGCAGAGCACCAAGTTCATGGAAGGCTTGACAACAATTTGTCACCTGCGCGTAGAAAAAAGAAATTTTAAACACCATCTCTACATATATTCGCAGGATGGTAACTCCGTATACAATTTTTTTAAACGTCTGTGTTACACATGAAAACGGAGGGCTGCGTCCTGTTTTAAAGCCGGTGTTGTGCGGTGAGGATCTGAGGGAAATCCCCGCGACGCCGACCCGAATCGCGCAAGCCGCGTTTAGGCCTCACCTGCAAGCCGTACGAAGCGCCGCGACGAGCGCCTGCCAGCAGAGGCACACGCGGGGACCTGCCGGACGCTGAGCGCGGTGTTGGCGGTGGGAGGCCCGACCCGCTCTCCGCGTCGCGGCGGGGAGGCGACTGATGCGGAGAGCGGTGAGCGGTGAGCGCGCCGCGCAGCGCCATCGTCTCGCTCCAGAGCGCCTCGCAAAAACGGCTTTCCGCCTCACGGCAGTCCGCTTCGCCCAGCCCCCAGCTTCGCTCGCCCCTCTTCCTGCCAGCCCGCCCGCCCGCCCGCCCGCTCGCCCACCCGCCTCCTGGCTCGTGCCGACGTAATTCAAAGACACTTGTTTTTTTCCTTGTGTTGAGAGACGGGAGATGCCAGCCGAGGAAGAAAGCACCGATCGTTCCGAATTCACTGCGAAAAAATAAATCGCTGTAGCGAATGTATTCAGCCATTGTCAAACGAATAATTTTAAGGACGAGAAGGGTAATTGTTGGAGCTTAATAAAATGTGAAGATTATACGACGAAAACAGTATTTGCAGTTCTTTCTCGAAAAATAAATTAAATAAAATTATTGGGATCTTTTTACTGCTCTATTTCTGCGAAAAGATGAATAAAATGTTCAGTATATTGCAAATTTCATTTACTCATTACATTATTCTTAAACTAGCGCTATACAGCACATACTTTCTCGCCCTTAGTAACAGTTACGTAATTTTATTATTCTTCAATTTCTGTATATATCAAGGGCGCTGTCAGCAATGCACACATGCGGCAATGGGCTCTAGGAACAATGGACGTATATTTTCTTACAAAATCTTACTAAAGACGCTCTTCTTACCATTAATGGAACTGTTTTTCAGTTTTTATTGTTGTGGTTTTATGAGACGATCTTTATGGAACATTACTTTTTGTATTTCGAATACAATTAAAGATGGCCCCGAATGCAGTATAGCAGGAATCCCGCTAACGCGTATCAGTTTTGTTGCCAACTCTCTTTCAAATTAGCGAATAATAACAATTCTTGGTAAAAACGCTTAATTTCATCTGTATTCAGATTCCAACGTGTTTATCGGCTAGTACATCATACATAGTTGATAAATAACACTAATACTAACAAACTAATTCAATTACTAATATTCTACAATTTGTAATATTAAGTTAACCTCTTACCGCCTTTTTATACATTGGCGCCGCCTCAAACGATATGCAGGAAAATAAAACTTTAAGGTAGTATGTTCGTTAGAACGATCACGATGAAGTACCCCTCCCCCCAAATACTTTAAATGAAAATCAAATATCTGTTCTTCAAGACGGTAAAAAACAATTTGGTCAGTACCGGCCTATTTTTTTTAATAAAAGAAGTTTAAATTAATACAGGCTCTAATGGAAAAAAATTGCGGGCACAGGTTTATTTTTATAGAATTACTGGTTGCTACAACAATGTATACAAATGTAATCTCTAAAATAAATACACAGAACTGTTGCAGACATTTTCAAAGTATACTTAAAGTTAAGGTGATTTAAAGGTGGGAAAATGATAAAAATGTATTTTTTTTAAAAAAAATTTAACTGCAGCTCATAAGTCGAAAAATTCTGAAATGAATACATTATAATTTGTGGTTTGAGGGGAACTTAAGAGACTTTCCCAACCTGTACCAGGGTTCTAAGACATAGTAAAAATATTTCTTTTGTTTGTTATTTATTCAATTTTTTGTATTTGAATTTGGCGCTGAAAAGTTTTATAAAAAATAGTTTTCTGATAGTCTGAATTACTTTCTTATTTTTCATTTTTCAATAACATAAAATAGTGTTAAGTTGACCAAAAATAAGGAGAGCGAAATATTATAAGAATATGAAAGACTTCTCAGTCCCAAATGGCATTTTTTTTAAACTTTGAAGTGGTTTTTAAGAAAATGGCGTTTAAGCGCTTACTGTAAATTCGAAATTTAAAGCTCTTTTTCACAGAAAACTTTTGAGTTTTCGAAAAAAATTTATTAGAACTCATTTGAAGCACATTAATTCACAAATACAATAATAGTATTTAGAAATTTCTGGAAATGTGCATATTAACGGCATGAGAGATCTTACATTTTTGTAATTTAAAAAAACAACAAGAAAACACAAAATTAACTTTACGTCATATTAAAGAGTGTAAATAGCACTAATTCTTCGAAAAGTTTGAAGAAAACATTGGAGGTATTTGAGAAAATGGCGTTTGAGCGTTTCTGGAAGTGCGGAACTTCGAGTTAGTTTTTACAGAAATCGGTTGAGTTTTGGAGAAAGTTTATCTGACATTATTTTAAGCACATGTACTTATAAATACAACAATGTAAACAAATTGCCGCTAATATAAATATTAACAACGTGAGACACAAGTCAAATTAATTACTTTTTTGAAAGTAAAGAAAGGGTATTTCAAGTAAAGGAATTCGTTGAGTAAACATTTCTAGAACGTAAAAACATACGCCATTCGCTTGTGCCTCTGGTCACCTCGCTTTCACACATTACAAGTCGAGTCAAGATTGTATTTCAATATACCGTGAGTGGTCCATGTGCACATGTATTTAGCGTTACGTGAAGTCATAAAATTGAAGATGCTCATATGTAAATCAGCCGTGACTCATACCAAAAAAGGAAAAAGAATAACTTGGAAGTGAAGGCTCTTCCCCACAAACAATGATAATGCAAAAAAGAATTCGGAATTTTTCGAGAATGTCATAAAATGAACGCATTTTCAAGCGAGGTACTCAATTTTAATGATTTAAAATCCCCAAATTTCCATTAGCGCGGCTCTCACGCGTATTGTACGATGTAAATATTTGCTTGCGTTCCCATTCGGCGAACACGTTCACACCTCTAGAATTCAGTTCTCCTGCGCAAAATTGTATGTTATGCGCGACGTTCGGCGTAAATTCTTGTAAAATGGACGTTGCTATAGGACTGATGTGCACGTTTCTTTTAGCAAACGAATACAGTTTTAGCGAACGTGCACATGCCCAGATTTCTAAAATTGCAAAAAGTCATCATTGCAGAAATACAATCTTTATGAGCTCAATATTTATCTCAAAATCAACACTCTTTTTTTAATTTTTACTTTCTCGCCCTTACTAACATTGGAATATTAATATAATCGTGAGCCGGAAAACAGCGACTTTTCGATACGAAAACTCTTCTGACCGGGCTGTGGTAACGAAAAAGTGGATAAATCCAGTTGCTGAATTTACAAAAAAATCCTCCAACAATTGGTGCAGCCAGAAGCAATGTTTTGTGCGTCCGTGATTCCGAAAAATTGATTGAAGGCAAAACGTCTCTTCGTGCGTCCCTCCCCCCGTCTGTGTCAAACACTAGCCCATAAACCGCTCAGCAGGTTTTCTCCAAAATTAATATTCCCCAATCGTTCTGACTCATGTCGCAGCCCCTGAAATTCTAAACCGATATTTTAATTTTTTTTTGGGGGGTGGTACTTTCCATAAAGCCCATCGAACATTTTCAAAAAATGGCTCCAACGTTTTTTTATTAAAAGTAAATAATTTTCGTCGACAATTACAAATATTCAAAATTTATTCCACGTCTTCCTACAACTATAAAATTGAAGATAAAAATTTTCCCTAAATAAAATTGGTTGCGCAAAGACAGATCTTGAAATAAAGACATATTCAATGTTTCGAAGATTTAAGAAGTTTTTGGGTAATTTTGCACAAAATATAGGCAATTTTTTAAAATATTATAAAATATCGCTCCAAATTTTTTTCTCTAAATTTTCTCCTCGTATGTAATAAGTGACGGTAAAAAATATGGTGCTGGTCTCATTTTCGGAAATTGCCCTGTCGTATTTTGGAAATGATTTGAAACCTATTTATTATATTCACTGAACTATACCTTCCTTTATACATGTTTTTAATGAACGAAAGGTCACTCATCTATGCATTCAGTGGTCTCAAAATTGACCGTACACTATGTAAGAAAATACAAACTGGCATAGAAAAAATATTTATTGCAGAATTTTGACTGATATTATTATAGACAAAGTTGTCACTATGCTGAAGTTCCACTGAACTGCGACTTCATAGGCGAGATCGGTATATTTCTGGGTCTTCTCTTGATGTTTTGCCGATATATTGCAGGTGTTGGGTATTGATATATCGATAAGGAAAACCTACTGATGGTTTCTATTGATGTAAGTTATATCGAGTCTATTGCCGCCGACTTGTCTGTCAGTGATAATGGAGCGATCCCAGTAGAGAGTGTGCTCAGCACTTTCAAGCACGTTCCGAGGCACATATTTAAAAAACGGAAGTGGCGAGTAAGCCCGTTTTCATTGCCAAAAATTGGTGAACTTGCTTCGCCACTTCCTCATGCCCCTTTTTGTATTCCAACTTTGCGTGGCCGCTACATCCACTTGTCACGTGTTGGATTGTTTCGCTTGCGGCCTCACATCTTCTACACGAGTCGGAATGGATGGTAGTGTGTGTGATCGTGTTTGATTAGATTTTATTATTGTATATTCTGAAGGGCGTTTAAGATAATGGTGCTGGTCTCATTTTCATTGAGAAGCCTAATTTATCGAAAATTGAAAAAGTTCAAAAAATTTTCGGAGTCTTCCGGAAACTAAAATATTGATAGATATTTTTCCCTTACTGAAATATGCCCCTTAAAGATAGATTTTTAAATAATGTCATGTACAATTCTTCGAAAATTTGAGTACTTTTCGCGTAGTTTTGCGTGAAAGTACGGTCTGTTTTAGCACGACGTTCGTGTGTAGAATGGATACGAATAGTCATTCAGTTCTATATTTAAAAACTGAAAATTAGAAGTTCAACTCTTGAAGAAGTGCAATATAATTGCTCGCGGTAGACCTACACCGGTACTGAACATATTTGAATTCATTTTCTATTTCGTCATGCTCCCATTAATTAAAGGTACCAGCCGCCACTGCTTATAAAGTTTCTCGAAAACACATTAGTTTTCTGTAAAAAATAGCTCAAAATTCCACATTTTCTAAAAGCGCAAACGCCATTTTCTCAAAAATGGCTCTAAATTTGTTCTTCAAACGTTTCCAAACGGATAATGCTAATTGCACTGTTCAATTTGACATAATTTTTATTTTGAGATATTCTTTTGTGTTAAAAAATTACACAAAAGTAATTTTTTTGTAAGATCTCTCATGCCGTTAATATG